TGGTGGGAAAATCCACTTATCAGGCTATGCGGGCATAGCTCAAGCTGCCCCTTCACCCTCGGACCCGGCACCGGCTCAGGCGAAATCGCAATCCCCACCAGCCCGCACGACGGCCTGACCTTCTTCTTCTCCTCCGCCTTGCGAGGGAGCACGCAATCAACTCTGAACCCCCTCCGCAGCGGCACCCCATCCACCACCTTGCCCGACTTCGTCAGCGTCACAAGTGCGACCCTTCCCACCTCAGACCCAAGCACCACCAGGAACAACTCTGGCACATGGAGCATCATGTGAATGCGCTCCGAGCGTATCTGGCTGAAATCATGTACTGGCTGGCCCAGCCCCGGCGCCAGAAATGTCAAAACGTGCCTGAACACCGGCCGCGCCAATGTCCTGTCAAAGGGAACAAGTTCGAGATCCGCCGCCGAGGTGCGCAGCAGAGAATAGTTCTTTGGAAGCGCCCCGAAATCGTCCACCCGTGCCAGTTCCGCCCTCTTTTGCCTGTCGTTGCAAATCCTGGACACCGATTGGTGTGTCAGCGGTGGTTTCCCCGGGTCCGGAGTCTCTCCCGACATCGGGACGATTTCTCGGCGTAACTGAACCTCGTCGAATAAATCTTTGATCGCCGAGGACCTCGAGTTTACCGACCTGTTAAGAGCCCCCCATCGCGTGGTCGACACCGCATTGCCCATAGGAGGGTTGAGCGCCATGCTCGGAATGAGGCTGTCGTCGTCATCCGAGTCCGAGTCCCCGCTCACGCTTTCCCATTCACTCGACAAAGATGAGCTGCCCTCTTCAGAAGGAGCTGGACAACCGCCGGTAGCTAGATTATGCAGCTTTTCGTAAACGGTAGAGTTGGCGTAAGGCCTGTTTCTGATCATGTCGCCCACATTGACGGCAAGGTCCTTGACGTAGTATAGCCCACACGTGATGTCCAGGACATTGGCTTTGGGCTGGAGAATCTCCTTTGCAGTCACTCCCAATGTTTCGCGGGCACTTTTTGTCGGTTTGAAGGCACTGCCAGGAAGAACCATGACACACCATCCCCGAAGGTACCTGTGTGTTTCCGAGGTGGCTGGTATGACAACTGGCCCGGTTCCAATTTTCCAAATGTCAAGTAGCCACACCACCCCCCAAATGTCAATAGCGGCTATCTTGTCCGCATTGCCATGCTCGTCGTCAAGAAAAGACACGCTGGGTATGTTGTGGCCACTGATGCCAAGCGGCAAAGTAATCTTCCACGTCCTCGTCCTCGATTGGAAATGCTTCTGAAGCTGCAAGGCGGTTTGTCCCGTCCACAACTCGGGCGACTCGTCGAGCTCATAAGCGTCATCCTCCTGGTCCTGGCGAGGGAGAGCAAACGCAAACACAGTGACCTCGTGTCTGTTGGATCCAACCGCAATCAGGCGAGACTGCTGATGAATAGCTAGACCCCACGCCGAAAGGGTAACGTTCTCGTGAAAGAACATCCTGGGTTTTGGGGTAGATCGAGAAAAAGGCCCAGCCCCGTCCTGCTTGGGGTACGTCTTGATCCAGTGCACCAACGCGTGTGTATAGTAGGCTCCAATGTCGCCGTCGTCGCACGCAAACAGGACGATCTCCAGGTTCCCCAGATTCCCTACAATCATGTTATTGATTTGGTGAGAAAACCTCCTGTCGAGCTCTCCGGGATACAAAGCCGCGAGCTTTGTGGTGGCCGGGTGAAGAATCAGACATGGCGGCGGTAGAATTCGTGGTGCTCGCTGCGGCTGGTACACGTATATCTTGTCTTGATAGGCTGCAAAGTAGAGGTTGTATCGCTGTGACAGGGCCGTCAAATTACACCGCCCGCTAGAGCAGTGAGGAAACGAAGGCGTATTTGACGTTGTTCCTGCCTCATTTGCGTCCGCCAGCCCCAGCCCCAAGGCCTGGACCGGGCCCATCATGCTCATCAACTCGTTCGCAGACATCCCGATCAACGAAGGCAACCAACCGGTGCCGGCGGGATTGGCATTATCCGACTCGTATTCGTCCTCGTCATCGGGGTAATCATCGTCCGCGCTGTCTGCGTCGTCTTCGTCGAAATCGAAATCGTCCCCGACAGCCGCCGTGTTGAGCATGTCCACATGGGCCGTGAAACTCTCACGGATACCAGGTCCAAACTAAATGCCCATCAGCAAATATATTCGAGCTAGTGATCAATCCGAGCTTCGAGGCTCACCCTGTTCTCCGGAGTCTGGACATGGCACACCGGGTGGACGTAGACTTCCTCGTACCCCGCCTCTGTTGGTTGCTCGGTTCCTTCGGCGGCGTTCATCATGTCCTTGGAAGAAGATGAGAACATCGGGGTTGGTGCGTGGACATAGCTGAAGGAGACTCCAATACGGTCAGAGAGAGAAAAGTCAGAAAGCTCAAAAACTGTGGTAAGCGCAATAGGTATGTTTGATCGTTGCAGGAGCTCTGGATCGGCGGCTCGCAGGCGGGATGGGGAGCGTGGGAGGTCAGTGCCAGTCACGCTATCGATAAGCGTTGTAGCTAGGGAGCTACTAACTAGAGATACGTCACTGCGGGCCACCTATCCATACCTTGATGGACACAAACACACACTGTGATGCTCTACACCCTCAAACAGAGACAAAAGCAGTTTGATAAAAATCCCATCACATAAGCATCCATAGCGCGCCTCTATGTAACCAATCTAACGCTGCCAATGGTATCAACCACATCTCCAGAAACCCAAAGCAAACACCCCATGCCAAGTCAAATCCGCTTCAACGCCAATACACATATACAAAGCGCTTACAACCAATTTTATACCTTCCCCCCAACTCCTAACCCAATGCTTATGTAGGAATTCCAACTTCTCTACTCATGCCCAATCCTCATCAACTCCGTCATATCCTTCATCCTGTAATCCAGCACCGGCGTCACCCAGTCATCCTCTACAAGGCAATACGTCTCCTTCTCATCGTCTTTTGGCTTCCTCGGGTTGATCGCCCAGTACCCAAAATCGGCATCAATACTCTTCAGATACCTCATCAAGTTCTCCCAATAATTCGCATCCCCCCTCCCGGGCTCACTCGGCGCCCCAAACTCCCCAATCCACACCGGCGCCACGTCCCCCTCGACCAAATACCCCCAATTGCTCCTCATAGACGCAACAAAACTCGGGTACGTTCTCTTGGAGTACCTCCCTTCAAGGCTCCCCCACCCGCTCCAAGAATACACATGCGCCGAATACACCACTCTATCCTCCACCTCCAACCTCACTGGCCTAGTCCTCGCCCCCCTCAAATCATTCCCGCTCTCCGTTCCCCCAACAATAATCAACCAATCCTTCTTCATTTTCAGCAGTCTGTTCCCCGCCTTTTCCGCCGCACTAGCCCACCGATCCCAAGGCATAGTCCCCCAAACCCCCCTAACCTCATTCCTCAGATCCGCCCCAATCACCAGCTCATTCCCCGCCAACCTCCCCATCACCGTCTCCCAGTTCCGAATCCAATCCTCCTCCGTCTGCCTCACCTTGCAAACCACCCCCGGCAACCAATCATTGCTCCAGCTGGCATCGCAAGGATCCGCCCCGCAGCACCAAGTCGCAGTCGTAATGTGATCATTCACAATCACCGCGATCCCCTCCTCCGTCAGCGCCTCCACACAAGCCACAAACACGTCCAGCGCCCTCTTCTCCATCAAGTCCGGATTCTTAGCCAGCAGGTGCGGCAAAATAGTCGGGTTCTTGACAACCATCTCGTCGCTGTAGGGCATCCGGACAGAATTGAACCCCAGCCTTTTGATTGTTTTTGCTATTGCTTTGCGGTGTTGAATGTCCAGCCCGCCGGGGATGAACAACTCATCCGAGGCGCCGTACCAGTTCACGCTCGACAGCTTGAATCGCTTGCCGTTTTGGTCGACAATGTTGCGGCCTTGGGTTTTGAGGGGGAGGGCATAGTTTGATAGTGGTTGGGACTCGGTTTCTTTGGAGGCGGTGGTGGTAGAAGAAGACAAGAACGAAGCTTCGATGGGTGCGGGGAGGGGTCGTTGGCTGAACAGACGGGCGTCGGGGGAGGGTGTCCAGGGGATGGCGAGGGCGGCTTCGGCGCGCCAGAGGTGGAAGAAGTATGTCCCCAGGATGAGGATGGATAATAGTGTGAGGAACATTGGTGGCGGTCGGGACATGAGGGTTCGGCGTTGGTTTGGAGGCGGAATCAGTGGAAGGGGAAGGAGGGAGGGCTTTGAAGTGGCCGTTGTTGTTGTTGTTGTTGTTGTTGTTGTTGGTAGCTGTCGTGATTTGGTTGGGTGGTGGGAGTGAGGTGAGTAAGCTGTGTAAGCAATTGATCCAAAGAAGTCAATGGTGTAAATTCTCCGTGTCTGCGTCTGCGCCGCCGCTCGGATGGGGGAGAGACCGTCGGTATGCATATACAACGCGGTTAAGTGCCGAGTTGAGTGTCTTGTTGCCCAATGGTATTAGTCGAATATCAGCCTCTTGTGATGTTTGAATACGCCATAATATCCCAAACAAGGCAAGACAACCAAAACAATGTAGAGTGCGGCTGTTGGACCAAGTCTATAAGCAGCCGACGCGGATGCCCCGGGAGTTGGGAATCTCAGCACACAAGTCAGGTTCGTCGCCAGAATCGGAACGAAGCAAGATCAGAGAAAAGGGGGAAGCTGTTTCTGAAGGCGAGGCCCGCGCTGAGCGAGAACCGGGAAGGCTGTCGCTGGCCTCTCGAGGTGAGGAGGCCACGACACAAGCGACGACCGTGGAGGGGAGCTGGATGGTCCATTCACAAGCTGCAGGGTCTCTCGACACGGCAGGTTTTCCCTGTCCAGCAGCCGCTTTCACCAGGCGGGAGTTGCCCGCACCGGCGCCCACCCACCAGGCCCACAGCTGACAGGGCTGCAGCAGCTCAAGCGCAAGCAGCCGTTTTGGCATTCTTGGCGCACCCTCTTTCCAGGATTTCCCCGCAAACAGCATTACCTTTCCTTGATAGGAGCGTTGCTTTTCAAGAAACAGCGTAGCACAAGTCCAGTTCTGTCAACGTGATGGCACGAGGTTCTGATAATGATGATGATGGCGATATCCTCAAGTTCAGATGTCGTGATGTTCGGCGGTAGCGAGTCAGTCACTCTCTTTGGTCTTCCCCCCCCGAGCGACTCAATCATTCCGTAATACACCTCTCAAATATAGATACTGCCTTCTCCCCCTCCCCTCTATCCCCTCACACATCCTTGGGACCCATCTTTACAGCACTTGCAAATCCATTGTACACAAATAACCTAGGTTTGCTCTTTCAGCATTGGCGGCAACTCATGGTCCGTCGCCCAGTCGATTCTCCTCTATCTGGCAAGTATTGTACAATAATTGATGCAAGAATGGCGGTTCTGGCACGCGTATATGTCCGCAAAAAGGATTGTGCTAAATATGTGTAGTGAATTGAACCCGGGTATCCTTCATTTCCCAACCCTCCTCCCTCCTCTTTAGTTTTTGAATATTAAGTAAGGTCAAGAATATATTTTAATGATTGATTTTTTTTATTTTGGCGTTGCGTTCGTCATCATCTTCATAACCTGTTCATGCCCAATGGGTTGACATAGTTGTTTGGGTTGCCGTCTTGGGAATAGACCCCTGGTGATTGTCCCCGAGCATATGTCTCTGTGGGATCCCAAGTCACCGTCGCTTGTTGCGGTTGTTGTGGTGGGCGTGGCGAGGAGAATGATCTCGCTGGCGTGTGATATCTCTGCGTTTGACCGAAAAAGTCGGGCGTACGACGACCGCTCTCGGGGTCTTGGTTATGGCTGTGCATGGTAGGGCTCCCCATTCCTGATCTGGCCAGCGTGGGGGAGATCGGAGTCACTACGGAGGGTGTTACTGATTGTTCCATGACCTTCCCGGAATCGTCCCGGGATAGCATCTCGTACGAACGTGTATCTTTCTTCAGGTCGTCGAGCCGCGCATCGACTGAAACAAACTCTCTCTTGCTCCGGCTAGGGGAAGAGATCAACAAATCACGCCAGCCCGTAATCATGGACCAGCGGCCGAGGAGGAGACAAAGCCAAATGCCGTTCATCTAAAGAACAAACCCGTGTTAGTAAAAGTGTGACCTTCGTGTGACAAACAGGGTGGTTAGGAAATTTACCCCGAGAAGGAAAAGAACAGCGCCAACAGTTGGCATATTGACCACCAGGGCACTTGCAAGCTCCAGGCAGGGCTCCTTATCCCCACCGTTCGCGAGCAAGCAGAGAGCCCAAGGACGAGCAATGGTGCTGTCATTCTTGACAGCCTCGACAGTGTTGTCTTGGAAAACGAAAACGACGGAAAAGAAAATGACATCGGCGATGATGATCAAGACGATAGCGATACCTCTCCACTGCAGCGCAATCACGCGGCGTACGCGACGATAGGCCTGCTTAGGAGTCATGGTCCGGATGCTGTTGGTGTAGGATGGCATGTTGGAGCCCTCGGTTGAAGCGCTGTTATCGGCCAACGATGCGAGGTAAACCTTGATGCAGTAGCCGAATGTCGCGAACTGAATGATAATTGTCAGGCCGGAGAAGACCAGAAGCGGGATCCAGAGATCGGCAAGACTGTTCTTGTGGTTGATATGGCAGGTCTGTCCGAATCGGAACGACACACCGCTCAAGAGGAAGGCGAGAACAACGCCCACACCAGGGAGGCCCCAGCCGACAACCTGAGCAAACCACATAAAGTTGCGTCCCACAACAAGCTGCCAGCAAATCTGAAGGTGCAGGGAGAGCGCGCGCAAGAAGACCCAAAGTACACCTGCCCATCCTCCCAGGATAATAAACATGCCGGATGCCGCGCAGACTGAGCTCGTCTTCATCGAGTTGGGTGTAATTGCGTCGAAACATTGTTCGGGCTGGGCTGCCAGAGGGATAACGAACCCAAGCTATCAAGGTCATCAGCATGTTGACCCAAAATCAGCTTGCAACAGCGGCCGACCTACATTCATAAACACCACTGCCGTGGTCAAGGAGATACTGAGATAATGCCGGAAAGTCTTTTCAACCGGCAGCACAGCCCAAGAGAGCAGGAGGAAGACGCAGCCAACTGTGCTCACGACCGACACCCAGTTGGCCGCTTCACTCATCGTCTCGAAGGTGTCTGGGTAGGCCCATTGTGTCATGGGGCACGGTAAGCAGCACGTTGCGTCTAAGTATGGTTGGCACACTCTGCCCTCAATAACTGCACAGGCACGAGATTAGCAACGTCAGCAAGTCCACCGAGGACAAAGCCGTGACTTACAGCCGCCATTATCAAAACCCGCGACGTTCAAGAATGGCTTTGGACATTCAACCTCTGTTCCGTTCGACATCTTGGCGTCTCTCTGAATGACCGACGTTGTCGGTACTCCACGTGTATTCCACAATCCGATCCACCCACTTTCAGTCAATATCCCCCGATCCAGATGGCCGGGATGATATGAGATGTCGATCGTTCAACCTCCAGACTGGGATTCCTAGTTTCGATTCCAGCACAAGTCGAATCCTCCAGTCGACTATTCGGCCACGTGAGTCGGTGGAAGCTATGGTGATATGGGCGCGCGGATGCAGATCTAAGAATCCATTCGAGCTCGGAATCCAGTCCTAAATGTTTCGGTTCGGTTGCTATATGGCGGTACGAGGACGTCGGTCTCGGTAAAACAGATCAAGGTGGAACGTGGCGCAAGGAAGTACCACGGCAAGATTGTAAGGGCCCAACGTGGTCTGAACTGGGGAAAAAGGATTGTTCGTTGGGATGGGCAAAGGAAGGGGAAAAGAGAAGAGCAAAGTCACCAGAGAGCAAGGTGACTGGCCGGGTCGCGTCGGGGTGTGGGACATATGTACATTGGGGGACGAGCGGTTCTCCTGGTCTCCCGGTGTCGAGATGTGCGACTGGGTCTTGGGTAGCATCGAGACGCAGCAAGAGTCTGGAAGTCCACACGAGAGGGTGACCTCGGCCAGGTTGGCCGCCGTGGACTAGCGGGGCGTTGTTCCATGAAGCTGATCGAGGGTCATCGCCCTGCCGCTCCGTCCAAAAGGTGCATCTGCCCCGAAGTGGCATCCGAAAGCACGGCCTCTCATTGGGGGAGGACGAGGGTTTTCTCGTGGATAACCGGGGGAGGAGGGTCCAGTTGCGATGGAGGGGCCGAGAGGGGGAGGGTGTGGATTAGTGTATTAGCCAGGGGGGGCAAAAGCCTGGGCGTATGGGCGTGCAGAAAGGACCGGCTGCTTCGAAGTCAAGCCACAGCCATGTCCCTGGCTGCCTGGATACCCAGCCGACCCGCATTCTGGACAGGGGCTGATGGCAGGGGTCCATCTCCACTCCCTCTTCCATTCCGCTTCCCACAGTTGCCCAATTAAGCAAGTGGGAAGAGCTCTCCATGAATAGAGACGGGACAACGGAATACGTGTTGTGGTAAAAGAGGCCAGAGAAAAGAACTAATTGAGAGACGAGTGCAGTGTGAGCCGAAGACGGACATATACTACATGATAATCATGACACCTAGCTGTACGATCGCTGCCTCAGTGGCTGATGACCTGAGATTCGGCCGAGGAGGCCGTTGACTGCCAGCGCCGATGACTGAAGCCCACGACCGTTGTGGGGGCTGAAAGTCAGGTTGAACAAACTCGAGATGTCTCAATCATCTCCCAGCCAAGTCTCGCACTTCAACGCTTGGCTTTCTCTGTCAAAACTGCCAACTGCATATCTTGAGATCAGGGTGTGGAGCGAAATATATTGCGGATTGGGCGTGTGAGAAACAGCTCCATCCTCGCCGTTTTACTGTCGGTGGCCGGGTGGAGTGAATCGATCCTTCCCCGCGGTGAGCAACGTATCGGACCTCTCCGATCCACCCAAGGTCCAGAAAGTCTCTTCATTGTGCCACTGACGCGCTCAGGAAGCCAGAGGCTGCGCATTCTGTGTACCCAATCCGCATCAGTCGTGATGGCCTCAGGGACTGGGCAGTCGCAGACGCCCCATTCCGTACCGACAGCCGGCATATAAAGAGTTCGGTGCTTACAGTCAGTCTTTGTAGAGGACGGGAGTTGGTTTCTACAAATCTACCAACCACATTTACGCCACGATCCCGTCTCATGTTGTACATACGGGGGCTGCGCCGCATCTTTTTATTCTCGCGGGAGGCGGAAACATCCTCACTTCTGCAAAAGGTCTTCACCGTGACAGCCGTCGGTGAAGCCCTAGCGGACCTCGTGTTGGCTTGTTCTGCACGAAATCGTCGTTCATGCAGGTGCCATGGGCGGCTGGAAGCGACACGCACCACCGTTCGACAGCCAAGAATGCTCAAGACCTTCGCTTCCATTGTTCCAAACCCTCCCACTACTGCATTTTCTGAGAATAGCTTCAGTGTAATTTCATTATGCGACTTTTGATTAACAACAGATTGAAATTCAGGCACCGCCAGCATCAGCTATACAACCAAACCCAGACGTGCCAGACTGTTGCAATTCTGACATCGGGACAGAAGCAACTTGGTTGATGATCCGTTAGCCGGGAGAGTTGCTTTTTTCATCGTGAACCCTCCCCAGCGGAGAGAAAGTCGCCGCTGAACCTGGACTGCCACGAGACGTCCATAACCATCGCGTCTTGGCTGAGAAAGTGTTGTAGGGCATTGGAAGAACAGGGTGCGTCTGGATTCATGCACACTGTGAAATTTCAAAAAAGATCACTCTTGACCAATCCGGGCAGTCGCTATTGCGCTCAGACAGTTCGGCTATGCCTGCCGGGCAGGAACCTACAGTATTCAACTTCTTGACTGGCCTGAAGAACTTGGCGATTGCACCATTCAGGAGCTCTTGTTTTATCCTCAAGATGATGACCCGGTTTTCTGTCCCCAGGACCCCATAACGACGAAGCTGGTAAACGGCTGACAAGACGGCAGAGAACGCATTTCATAGGCCACATTATGTCCAGAAATCCCACCGACTGGTTTCCGTCTCAGCATTTCGCAGATCTTACTTGCATTTTTCGTTGGGTTGGAATCGCATCATGTCCGCACAAGAGGGTGTGGTCCGTTGCGGGTAGTCCACACCACCATTTCCTAACTTGTACGCAAATGGGATTGGCTGATTTACTCGCTTCCCCAGGTGTGTCCTGAAGTCCCGTCTTCACACAGCCCTCAACCCCAGCATTGCATTCTCCCGAAATTATGTCTGTTCCTTCGATGCGAAAAAAGGGCACTCGATAGTGCTTAGGAAGTCTAGGCTCGAGGATAGATCAGGGCAATTCCAACATTTGTGCAGGGCATGGCCAACCCTCAATCGCAGGCGACCGTTGACGCCAACAACCCAGCCAAGCCTTCTCAAGACATTATCATCGTGTGTTCGTCAGGTTCAACGGCCAACAAGCACCAAACTTAAAAATGACGTTGTCGGCTATCCAGCCAGATCATGGACCACATACACGGAGGGCAACATCCTCCCATAGGCCGGTTCTGCCCGCCTCTGTCACAGAGACCACCCGGCAGAACTGTCCCAATCATCACAGGATTTGCCGTCCCGCCAGCATGGCCCTTCCCCCGTTCCCCACAGGTCGCCCTGAAAGCTCAGAAGTCATGGGACTTGAGCCACGGCGCGTACAATACCAGCCGAACGAAACCACGTTTTCATTTTTTGAGACTACCTACCTTACCACGACGCCGATTATCACTCTCGTCATCAGTTTCACAACAACTTCTGTTCGTTTCACCCCAAAGCTGATGTCACACTGTGAAAAGGTTACCGTGGGAGCGTGGCCATCGGCCCGGCAAAGGCTGCTGGATGTTACAAGACGGCATATCTCCAAGACCTTTCTGACATCCAACATACGTAGTGCAGTCAGGTCCCAACCACTCGGTACCTAATTTGTGGGCTTCGTGAGGCCAAAAATGCCTTGTCCAAATGAAGCAAACACCGCTGTTGGGCGATACAAATCGGCATGAAAGTCAAAGATGCACTTCATACTTTCGCTAGCAGACCTGGCCGTTTAGGTTGACGGCGAGGACCAACTACCGAGCAGTGAAGACAAGGCGGTGCCTGCATATCATGGTACGAACCACTCGTGATCCTCAGCACCAGAACCACAAGTCTGTGGCGATTGGAAAACGGCAGTTGCGCACCCAACCAAACCCCCAAAAACCAGTCACCTTCAACATACGAGGCCATTCCGAACGGGCCAGGGCGGGCCGGACTCATCGACAGGCGGTTTTTAGCCCGCCTCCTGAGTTTGACGCCCTCATGCTCTCACGCCCTCCCCGAGCCTCCTTGACCGAGCAATAATTCCCTCTCATTCATACAGCCACCACCAGAGCAGCTGCCTGCATATTGTTGATTCTTGGTCCCCGAGGCCAAACTCTGGGCAGTCTTCACATTCACCGTCCACAATCTTCTCATCACAACATGTGCTCCCCCAAACCTCGGTCCAAATGTCAAAATATTGTTTTCCTCCTCGCAAGCCCCTCACAGCTAGCCACACCACGCCTGCGCCCCTGATGTATGGCGACGTACCTTGACGAATCTGGGTGTGGATAAGTGCCATCATTTTCTAGGTGAGGTTCTAGAATTCAACTTGTTCAAAGACCAAGAGCCAGGGCTGGACGGCAGCTAACTTGTTCAGAGCAAACCCCGCTGTCCTCCCCGACCCCAAGAATTTTGATGCGCCTTTGGTGGGTCGCTGACAATGACCGTGGCTCGGTCAACTTTTTGGAGGGGAAAAATGCGATTCTTGTTGGTGGTGACAGGTGGAGGGGAGGGGCTGGGCCGAGGAGAGTCCGACTCATTGGTTCACCTACCTGATTAGGAAGGTCAGCTAACAGCAGCAGCAAGCCACTCGCGACATTCTCTTTTTTAATTATTCTTCACAGGTTCCAAAAAACGCCACTATCATCCGCTCTAGCCATATCTTATCACGATTCCCACTGTTGCATTTTGCTCAACGGTGGTGAGGTGATGATAGTCCTCCGCGGTGAATGAAGGTGGTGTAATTCCGATCGTCCGGTTTATGTCTTGGGGACAATAAAAGTCAAACAGACCGTTGGTGCGCTTGTCATCATGAACCATATGAGGGCACAGAAGTCTTTTTTTTTCTTTTCTGCATGGTTCATACGACACAGTGTTTGGTTACAGTGCGTGGGGGCTTGGGTTGCGTTGAGACCCCTGAAAACAAAAACACCAACGACAGTGACGGTTACGACGGCATGGGTGATGCATGGCACTTCAACTCAGCACTACATACGGTGAGACGATGGGACGGTGGTGGTGGGTTTTTTTTTTCTTCTATTGAAAACTTGCAGTTGGAGCTGATGCAGGAACCGACAGGAACACTCGCATTGCAGGTTTGGTAGTTGCATTTGGTAGTGTCTTGACAGTGGAGGCGATTACGGTAAGGGAAAAGAGAGAAAGTTTGGGTGGGTTAATATAGGTCAGACGCCTGAGAGGGAACTATAGAAATCCGGGTGGGTTTTCCCAAGCGAACTGCTGGTATGTATGGTGTTTAGGTTTGGCTATGGGATGATGGGGACTTGTTGACCATGAGGTAGGTTGATCAATCTCAAGTCATCCTACGACCTCTTCGGTCAGTCAACTTAAACAGCGTTAAATCATAATAAACCCCAATACATCACGTTTAAATTCCCCTATTTTATTTCAGACTCCTCACACCATCTCATCTATACGACATAGAAACGCTCCCGAAATTCATCATTAACGAGACAACCGCAACTCATTCGCCGCCAAAGATGAGTATCAACGACAGAAAACTCTCGGAGATATTCTAACTCACCCATGCAAGTGACAACCCCATTCATCACAGTCGTATTCCCAAATGAATATAGCCTGAAGAAGAACAATCTTTTGCGCACAGACTGGAACAAACTCCGACACACAGACTGGAAGGGACAGCAGAACAAACACACAGACATCATCATGCCAGGAGGCTCTTCAAAAGATCTTGGTAATGTATCGCTTCCCGGAATGCCGCGCCTGTTTCCTCCTTCTTGTCCCCGGAGGGGAAGTCTGCAGTTTGATGTTGATCATGATACTTAGCCGGGTAGGGTTCTCAAGCTTCACTTTTGTTTCGTGTAGCTTTTTGCGTCTTCTCCCGGGCTCGTTTCTGCTGCAGTTACGATGCATGTCTCCGTCACCGTTGCATCTACTGTATGTATGCTGATGCCCTTCGTTTCCCAGTTTCGGCAGAGGCATTCGCTCGGTATGCATCTACTGCCGGGTAGGTTTCCACCGTGTTTCGAACCTTTGCTCGAGATAAACACCATCGTCGTCACTTTGCTACAACGTGATGTTCGGTGGCTCGTGGCGGGTGGCTTGGTGTAGTGTTGCACACCCTCCATCGGTTCTGTTTCGCCCTCTGTAGCAAGTCTGCCCAGGAAGTCTCACCTTCATCCCAACTCTCAAGATGTGTCGTTGCAACCGACAACAACATCATCACCACAACCCTCCATTACACAGCCCAGCAGTGATCAACAACCCCAACCCCCTTCCTCCCCATCACCCCGAAAAGAAGAGCCGATCAGCCGACCATGTATGATATACCTCGCGGTGTTATCGCATATGTATTCTGCAAGGGGTACATCAAACTCCCTCTTCAGTTTAGCAAGTTCAACATGCAATACAACATTGGCATTCTTCAGCAACACACTCAACTCCCAACAAAAAAAGCAAAAAAAAAAAAAAAAAAAAAAAACGGATAAAAGGCAACAACCGTTCCAAAAAGGCAATTGCTCTCTCAAAACAGACCCCCTGTGATGAATATCACCAAAATGAAAAAAGTCTGAGCGCTGCTGCTCCCAACGATGAGGCTAAAAAAGTGACAGATATCAAAGGGGAAAGAAGCAAAACCGAGCGCGACGACACTACGGACGCAAAAAAACACGTGTGGCCCCTGTACCGTCGTCGCGATAATCCAGCGAAACCTTGACCCCGAGATTCATCGGTTGGTGAGTCCTGTAGCCGGGAAGGTGAAGCCAGTGAAGTGTGTTCTCGGCGCCTAGATGTCCCATCGGTGGAGTCGCCCGCTGGTGGACGGACACACGCTACCGGTAGCAGATTCCGTGCCTCTTTTCGATTGATTTATTACGTACTTCGTGTTTGATGAAAACCACCAGAATGTGTGTGCTGCTTCTTGATAACATTTACTCCGCAGACTTGGCGAGTTTGCTATCGTGCTGTATCATTATCGTCAACTTCGTCTTTTCTAGCATTTTGTCCTGTTAATGCCCTGCCTCCCAGACCCGACCTCACCTGCCCCATCAGCAGAAAGCTTGTTCCCTCGAGCGCGAAAAAAAAAAAAGCAAAAAGAAACCCTCTCCTAGCGCCCCGTCGCGATGAAGCACGCCGTCCAACGCCCTTCGCCCCGCAATCTTTCCGGATCCGAGAACGGGCACTGCTGCTGCTCGCTAGCTTAGGGTCAACGGCCGATATTGCGGCATGGGGTAGGTAAGCTACCCTAACGATGTTCGGCTCATGGTCCGACGACACTGGCCTTGTGGACGCCGAGAAAAACCCCAAGCAGGGGGCAGGCACTCCTGTTGAGAAGAGGGGTTCATCATCTGAGACCGACGAAAAGGGCTCCATGTGAAAAGCATGTGAGCCAGGATGTATCTCGCCAGATCGTAGATTGATCAACGATAAAATTGCGCAAGGCAAGTTCAAAAACCCACCCGGCGAATGTTTCGAATGATCAGCAAGAGACTCCAGTTCTCACGATCCTGTCCGTGAACATGGAGCCCATATGGCGTGGTGTTGTATTACAAAGGGGTGCGCCCGCGCTTTGACAGGTGGGGAGGGAGGCAAACGTGTGGAGGGTTGGGCCGAGAACACTACTCGTCGCGGACATTTGTTGCTGCTGCCTCGTGAGGCTACCTGTCGCCATCTAGGACTGGAAAGACTGTCCGGTTCGCGTGGTATCCTGGGGCTTATTGTTGCAGGACAAATTGGGTGTGTCGTGTATTACTTTCGGTCCGGTTCCGCAGCCCCGGGAAAGGGAGTGAGCCAGCCGGCTTCTGTCCGTCAGTGACAAGAGAACCAACCTGTCTCCGAACATGGCTGCGGTAGCATTATAGGTGACCACCGTATTCTGCGAGTCTGTGGTGAAGAGCAGTCCTTTCGTGCGAGAATGGCCCGCAGTGATCCAAGGCATTGCGACGTTGAAGAATTGCGGATGCCACATCCGAACAATGGGAAAATCTCTCCCCAAATGAGACCACTTACCTGGCAAGGGCCTCCTGATTCGATCTCGCGATGGACCAAAACAGATGGTGAACGGTCGATCATGGGCGGCTCCAGATCCGGTTTGGTACCTATCTTGTTAGTGAACGGCATGATAACGACATGCCGCCTTGTGCCTCAAATCAACCGGTATCAAGGCTGAACGAAGCCTCAGTAAGGGATGACAAGCAGGACGATGGGTCTTGAATACTCCTGAGTGGTACCATGGTTCTCACTTTTCGGGTTTCTGCGTCCCCTGGCTCCGCCAAGGGGCTCTCAATCCGAACGGTTGGGTCCCCCGGCAGCGGATGTCTTTCCATGTTGATGCTGTCCCGACGGTCAGCAAATCCTCTCCCCAGTACGGGTTCGTAGAAAAGCGGGGTGAAGCCAACTGGCAAGAAAACTCTGAGGCGCGAAGGATTTAGATTGGACGGCTTCTTTAATGACAGGATGGCTGGTCTGTCCTTGATGGCAGCGAGGGTGAGAAGAAGATTGAAATCAAGGTTGGTCAAGGGCGCTGGAGAATTAAAAGCAAAACCAAGGAAAGTACGGTAGGTATCTAGGCGTGTTACTAATGGTGGATTTCTTGAGTTGAGGGAAGGAATGACTTGACCAAGGACACCATGGACGACTAATACACAACAACGTAAACTTCCTAACCCTTAGCTACGTTATAGACTATGTTCCTCATGAAGTGTGAAATAAACTGTGCCACCAGCAGGAAGGAAAAGGCTGACGCAGTGACCCAGAGGCGGCTCAGGGGCAACCACACATCACACAAGACACACGAGTTCTGAATGTTCATGATTTGCATTTCCCAGGAGTTGATCCCAAACCAGAAATAACAAAACAAAAATGTCCCCCACACTGAATGAATGGCCGGGGTAGAGCCCATGTGCCAGAATCAAAATGCCAAAAGCGCCTCCCTCCTTTCCTTCCTTTGTTTCCACCAGGTATCATTGTCTACTGTTGATCGACCAAGGAAAAATGATTAGAGCCTACACTCACCAATCTCCACTTTGACATTGACCTGGTAGAACCATTTCCAATCCTCCTTTTGTTATGATGTATGCTTATGCCCACCAGACCATGATGCTATAGACTTGAAAGAAAAAAACTACAGTTTAAAAAACGCCCATGATGATGCCGAGTGTTTTACCCCTGGGCGTCAACAAAGACGTCATCTTGTGAGTCTTCTGTGTCGGCTCGCTTGGGATTCGCAGGCAAGGCCTTCTTCATGTCGTCGTGGAAGTCAATTAGCGGCCCGGCCTTAGCCTTGTCGCCTGTTGCAGCCAACATTGTCTGAATCTCTGCTGTACTGCGATGGTTGGGGTCCAAGGGAGGCTTCTCCCCTTGAATTTGTTCCAATGAAACACTGCTTGCTTTCGTGGACATAGAATCTTCCGAAATCTTGGTTGGTAGGGTCGGGGTCAGGGCCGGTGCTCTGCTGTCATCGGCTGATGGTCCGTCATTGTTGAGATTGATGAGATTGCTGTCATTGCTGTGGGCTGTCTGAGGGCGTGACTCAGAAAATGATGCTCTTGGTGGTATCACGATCCTTTTCTCACATTTTTGGCCTGGGATGATTGGATAGATGGCCATGATCTGGGCCGCCTGCTTCTCTGGTGTCTTTCCGTCTCTGTACACAGTTGTTAGCTTGTGCCCTCAAATTGACCGACGATGGCGTCAAACATTTGAGCATTGATAATCCACTCGAGATCTTCCTCGCCTTCCTCGGATCCGCCAGGACCGCCTCTAACTCTCCTAAACAGTCTGGGGTGCCATTCGACACCCTCATTTGCTCTCAAAGCAGCCTCTTCGCGCTGGGTCTCCTCGATTTTCGTCTTTTCGTCGGTTGCCAGCTCATGGTTACGTTCTTTGACTGCTTGGGCAGTCTTAGCCCACAGCCTTTGAGATTCTCGTTCTTCTTGTTCCTCAAGCGGTCGGCTCAGAGGGGGACTATGCTTTGACTTCGTGGCGTTGAAGAACATCTCCTTGTGGCCAGTCTGTAGGGTTTTAGCATTGTGCATCATAGCGGCGCTCAAAATCACGTACCTTGACGTTTCTGAGAAACATCTCTTCGCTCCACAGTCCTGAAAGCTCATAGAGCACCTCGCCCGTTTCCTCATTTTTCACCGTTCCACCAATGGCATTATACGTGCCGCTGACCCAGCCCTTGGTCTTGAACTCAATGTCGGCAACAAGGCCGGTCTCTGGACATCTCACATAACTGTGATCTCCCAGCTCATATTTCATTTTACCAAAGAGAATACCTCTTGCGTACATGTTCGGCTGGGTGAGGATGCTAAATAGTCGAATTGTGTAAGTGCATTGTGCGAAGCTGCAGCAGTGCCGGAACATAGGGTGCATATGCTTACTATCTTTCTCCCTTGGTAGGATCCTTGCCGCGATTTTGGAGGGTCAAGATGGCAATGCCTTCCATCATGCTAGCGGCGGAGTTACCCAGGAATTTGCTCCTGGGTTTTAGCGTCCCATCCACCCGAATGTGGTGACCAGGTACCATATAAAAGTAGCTCGACTTTGGAGGATGGTGAGAGGTTTGCTCAGAAATGTAGTACGCTCTGGTGTTGTCGGGGAAGTCCCAGTAGCACGAGAAAATCTCGCCCAGAATGGGATTCAAAGGCTTCTTGACACCACTAAACAGGCGGGTTAGTAAACAGGCATGACTGGTTAGATATCAAAGGGACTCACGGAGGGCGAATGTGCCAGCCGCTCAGGTAGAATTTGACAACGCCTAAAAATCTTTCGACCGGATCTTCAATCTGAGGAATCGGCAGCAGCATTTCGGGATGGCACATAAAGCTATAGCGGTTGTCAGCTTCAGTCCTCCTCTCTGTTCCTTTGAGTAGCGGAGGCAGGCGTACTTTGTGATCCTTTCCAGCATGGAACGGGGCTCCAAGATGAAGGTAGGCAGAACGACTCTACTCAGATCGGCACCAGGTCTCAACTGGGATATGATGTGGGAAAGGACTGGATACCGGTGTCAGTAGGCGTATATGACCGGATAGCCCTGGAGTGGGTGACAGACCGTTGCCCTGATCGGGCTCGACTACGAGGGTATCATCTTCGATAGGGTCTGATCCGTCGACAGAGGATCCTCGGCTGCCTACGAAGAAGCGGCATGTTAGCAACAAATATGGTCATATATGATCCCGGATGTCCAGTCTCTTGCCTCCCTTGGTGATGCTGTCGGTGCGCCGGTGATGAACTTCAACTGGCTCGCCGTCTACATGATGCATCTGCTCAAAATAGGCTCTTGACAAAGTGGAATCGCATGCGACTCACTAGCATTAGAGGTTGCCCTTCGGCGCCCGGAGACGAGTCCCATGACCATAGTTTCAGACTTCTGTTTCCTTTCGACTTCACCACTACTCGCGGCCTTTTCGGCAGAAAAATGTTGAGGAAAATAAAGAAAAGTGGAGATTTGGAGGGTAGGATGCACGATGGAGGGTCGGAAGAGTTGTGAGTATCTTGTACTCGGCACGGTATTGCTGCGCTATGGTGTTGCGAAGCCAGGAGAAGGTCGAATTCTGGTGCCTAGAGGCTTCGCAAGAGGAAACAGAAAAAATTACGTCGTTGATCTCTTCACAGGCAACACCAGGCTCCGGATGACGAGCGGGATTCGCAGCTGCCAGAACGGCCGGGGCGGGGCAGGGAGCTGGGTGGAGGGTCTGGACCAGGGGAGCAATGACGTGGGGTCCTTGTCAACAGGCGCCTTTTACATCATTTGTTGGGCAACAGATTTGATGGACATCAAAGACACTCAGTACATCAAGCGCGGTGAGAGGCCGGCAACGCCTAGACGACACCTCATGCGCCCCAAGACCACGAGGCCTTTCCAAAGAGGGCAGCTGGAAAGATGATTCCGAATATGTGCCCTCTTTTACACCATAAAGCATCTGCAAGTGCTCTTCTAAATGTCTTGGATCGAAGACTTTGGAAGAGATTCTTCTTCCATGCCATGCTACCCACGTGGTGGGGGTGAGGGACGGAAGAGGGGTTCAGTCCGACCCCGCAGGAAGTCGCTGTTCTTTGTGCCGCCACCGTCATGACAGCTGTAGCGGCGGCATTCGAACACATGCGCCGGCGTACCCGTCAACGGGAACGATCAAGATCGGTGATGGCGGAGTTGAAGTGGATTCTTATCGGTCTACGGTGCACCCATGATCCGGCAAGGTCGACCCGGGGACTACAACTAGTTACCGCAGCTCATGGTATCGTGCAACCCTAACCCTCACGATACTGGCCCAGGCTTGAATTCATATCTTTGTGCATGTCTCATCGAAAGACGAAGATGCATATATATACTGTAACCAGGGTATCTATTCGTGTAGCGCCAGCACTTACATATATAGCAGGCATAACATCTGAGGGTACGTGTTTTTAGATCATTCTTCCTGCCATGGTCGTCAACTATCTCGATTCCTCGCTCAATCTCACCAGTCACAACAGATGTGTAGGGCTCAGTCTGGAAACCGATGTCACTGAGGTTATAGATGGAAGCATCGACTGACATGAATCACAGCACCGGTTGAGGTTGCACAACACATAGGAATTCCAGATACCGCCTTGGTCCAGACTCGCCCAACTGCCTAGGCGGCCGAATGGTGGTCTGGGGACCTGAAGCCCATGCCTGTGGGCTAGTGCAAAACTTCAGATGGTTCCTCACCATGTTGAAAATGAAGGGATCATTGATAATTACTGCATCAGCCGAGCAGGTCGAGACATGATTTTCAAGCAGGAGATAAACCAGTTCTTTCTAGACATCAATATCATCACAGGTTAGGTAGTACAGGTACGCCCTGCCCCTTCCTTACCTTGATTACGGATGATGAACCCTTCTTTTGACGTTGAATTCCTGGAGCCGCAGATCGACATGGATAGACGGCCCCCAGTGCCGTTTCAGGCGTGGGCACGCTAAAAGCCATCGATACCGCTGCTTGGCCGTCTTGCAGCATGCCCGGTCCAGGTTCCGGGCAGGGCAGGGCAGTACGACACCAGCACACAAAACCCCCAAAATATCATCTCGTGAAGATCAAGTTCAGCTGCACGCTTAATGCACCGTTACATCAGGGCCTTAGTATACGATTCCACGCTGCCTTCGTATTGATGAAGTCTTTTATCAAGGGAACCCAGCCAACCAGGTGCTTGCTTGGCCGACGAAACAGCCAATGGATGCCCAAGTCACGAACGTGGAGACTGGAGGGGACTACTGCAGCGGGAAGATGGGCCCGTTCTCGACCCTGAAACATTGAGCCATCTCCAGCCAGCTTCACCTCGAGATCTTCAGCAGACAGAAATGGGGGTGGACCGGCCAGGACATAACAAGACAAAGACATGGAAAAAAGAGTGTGACGAGAGGGTAAGCTTCCCTCCCTTCTGCAATTGCTTGCCTGCTTCGTTGGCCAGCTCGCAAAGGAGTAGTAACACACGAGTCCGGACTTTTGAGGCGCGGGCATTGGATTTCCATTCTCTCAAGACGCAGTTCAGGTGCATCCACTGCTGAGCGGCTGTCTCCCAGTTTAGGAAGTAATTCCCTTGCATCACTGGCGGTATGGTACCTCGCTGGACAGCCCTGGTGCCCCGCATTACCCGCTAACATCAACCCTCGCAGCAGCAAGGTTTCCCGCACGTCCAGTTCATCCCAGGCCCGCACCACACACCACGGGTCCACGAACCACCACAACTTTGTCTCATTTTTCCCATTGAACATAAAACTTGTCCTCTCTCACACCATTCTCCTCGAACCCGGCTGCCCGATCCGTCACCTCTGGGCTCGATCGAGCCACATGCCCACCCACGAAGCCCATACGAAAGGGTCCAGTCGGCAGCTCCACAATACATTGTTGGGCTGCCAGAGCATCGACGACGAGCACATGCCCGCCTTCCGTTCCGGTCGTGGAAGCCAGCTTGCCAGTACGACCGGCAATTTCCTGCCCACACGCAGCAGCAACAACGACTGGACAACGTGAACGAGTACAAGCTCAATGATGGAGAACGAACCCCCCGCCATTTCTGTGCAGGATGATGGCAAGGGATCAAAAAGGGGTCGAATTATGGGGAAGCTCTTTGGACGCGACCGAGATCGAGACCGAAAGGGGTCACAGGGTGCCGCTGATTCTCGTGACCTAAACGACTTCTTCCATGGTCCTGGCGACACATTACAAGTCACCCATGCGGCACCTCCCATGCTCGCGAAACTCGACACCAAGAGCATTTCGCGATACACCAATGCGCTTCAGGTTCAGGGGACCGGAAGCAACAACTCGCAACAATCCCTTTCCATACGATCCCAAAATGGTAGTCCCAAGAAAAGCAAATCTAACAGAAGGGGATTGGTTCTTAGATTTGCAGAAACACCCCCTGAGGTTATGGGCGAGGGTGGTGACATCTGCGAAGTACCAACCATCGAGATCTCGAAACGTCGCAGAGCAAGGCCGCCACCTTCTCCGATTCCTCCTCGTCATACCGATCTCGGTAACAGTCCAAGATTGCCGATCCGAGAAGCTCAACCAAGCCCGGGGACGTTTGACCCAGCACCTCTCCGACGCACCCAGACAGGTTTCTCCACGACCTCGGATTCCCCCGACTCAGATATGTCTGCTTCGAGAAACCCATCCGCTCGGCTCCTGGCAAATCCCATGGTGGATCATGACGAGAGGCGGAGGTCATTCATAGAAATTCAGCAGGCTGAAATGCGGGAAGCCGAAGGACAGGCGTTTGTCAAGGCGGTTAGAGCTGCTTCTGGTGACAAGTCCAAGTGGGACGAAGCAGAGGCTGCACCACCTACACCACCAGAGCCAGAGCCCGGATCGGCCATGACTGCGTCACCAGAGCCCATTCAAACACCCCGATTCCCACCACAGCCGTCGCCAAACCCTCCAACCTCAGCACCACCGCCAATTCCAGCCAAAAGACAACGACCTCATCCATCTCCTATTCCGCCACCACCGCCAGAGCATGCCCCACCGCCATACACACCGTCAATGCCACAAACAAACTCGCCAGAGAGACTAAAACATGCAGCAAGACAACATGCGCATAGTCCTGTGTCCGCAGTCTCGGCAATCTCAGCAGCCTCGAGCTTCCATCATCCATTTGCAGCGAGGCAAGGAAGCAAATTGGGAGATCACGCGTTGCCAGTCACTCCTCTAATGGGGGGCTCTAGCTTCCAAGATGTTGTGTCAGCAGCAGCCGACGATGCCATGAACACGTTTGTGGAGCGCACTCGTCACCTCTTTGAACTGTTCCGGTTACACGCAGAAAGTGTACGGCCATTGCTCGCCTGTACGCCGAATGAACTCGCCAGGGCGTCTCTTTGGTGGTTTTTGACTGGTAGAATGGCCCTTGAGAATGCCATTCGAGACCGACCCTCGACCCCGGAATCTCAGATGAAGAATGAAATCTGTAAACAACAGGCTTATACCGACTTGGCGAAGGGATACTGGCTGTTGGAGGAAATCATGCCTGAGATTGTCAACAGCGGGCGTAGTCCAGTTGACAGGGAAGCGGAGGACGTGCGTGCCACTCTTGCGTCGAGCCTTCGGAAGCTGTCGGTGTCAATGAAGCGAAATGGTTTCCTGCCGCCAGAAGAGCCCTTTCTACCACAAACCCTCGATCGAACCATTTGGTTGGAATATCCTCAGTTGCCAGGCGATCTCAAGTCCATGCTTTGGGGGTCATCCAGCTTGGCTCTCTCACAAAATCAGCTGGCCAGCTCTGGCATGAGCATCCTTGAAACGCTACCACTGGGCGACTCTCCCTCTGCATTCTGCTTTGGCCGGTTCCAAGTCAGTCTCTTCTTGATGGAGAAAGGACGAGAAGCGCAGCGCATTCATCTGCCATGTTTCATATCGATTGTCAGACCCCAATCGCAGCCTGATATTCTGTTTGTGGCCGCAAGCCAGAATGGAGCTGTTCAGCTACGGATCTCTGGCAACAAGAGCACCGGACCGGTATGGGAAGATGTTCGTTGGCGTTCAGACAGCTGCACTTTGGAAGTCGCCATGCCACGAGGCTTTATTGTTATGATACAGTGCTCTCAACCAGCCTTCCAGACCCTGCGAAGCATGTACGAGTTCAGTAACAAAGTACATTCCACCCTGTACCCGAAGCAAGACGAAGCTTGCGTCTTCAGATCAACCCTCCGGTCTTTTCAGTACTTCGATAACGACCCGCAGGCCAGACAGTTTCCGAAAGAGCCGGCTCCAAACTGCGAGATTGCCATGTTTGAGAGGTTGCATAAAGAAGGCGCGGCAACCGGTCCTCGCACATATCACAGAGGTTTCCGGATAGCAGTCATCACAGGTCCAAGGACGAAGACTCTCAGTGGCGTCAACCAGCTGTACAGCCCTGAGGCACCTATTCGGTTTGGATTCTTACGCAGCGACAACAACGAGCCCTCGCTTTCCCTGCGTTTCGAGAATGGTCGTCTTAAAGGGAGCATGGTCATGTCTTTTGCTGACGAAAAGGAAAGAGTCCGGATGCACACACTACTCATTGGGACTGCACTGCATCGGGAGGAGTCGATATTCTGCGAGTCTCCGCTGAAGGGAGCTTGGATCTCGGAGAGGTTTGGCGATTCTCAAGATGGAGGACTAACGGCACTTTCCAACCTCAACTGGAACAAAGTCAGGGTCATCAACCAGGACACAGACGGTGACCGGGCTGCGCACTGTGTGTTGTCTGATAAGCTGCGGGTCATCTTTGAGTTCAAGGACGGAACGATGACTGATCGGATTAACGTCGCGCCAGGGGAGCTTAAGATGCGCCTTGACGTACAGAATCCGAGCTGTATGATGGTCTTCCGTCAACCGCAGGCGGACATTACGCTCGCCGTGACAGAGGCGAATGTCTCCTCTGAATCGGCCCAACGGCTGGCCAGGGCTCTGGATACCATCAAGCAAAGGCCAACCATCAGAACCATCATGTTTCCAAAGATGGAAGACCTACACACCTTTGAGATGGCTATCACTGGGTTCAAGGTGCTTTTTGATGGGATTGCGGCAACATTTGCCATCTCGCGCAGACGAATGGTGGTGCCTATCCACAAGAAGTGGGAGGCCAGTGCTACTCGGATCCAGGTGGTGCAGCAAGAAGGAATCACGCAGATTCTTGCCTTCTTTTCGGATTTTTCTCATGGACAATGCATGGGCTTCAGCTTGAAGGGAACAGATGTGTTTGAATCTTTTGGAAAGCAGGGGAAGGCCGGGCTCAAGATTGTGGATGCCAAGTTCCCGCTGCCGAAGGTGCTGCAGGCTGGGATGGATGGAGCGCAGGACGCGGCGGATGCAGCGTTTTTGTGTTTGGACTTACCTGAGCTGCCCGGGGAGCATGATGATATTTCGATCGTGTTTGAGGATGAGGCTGGTAAGTTGATGCTGCCTGGGATTTGACGAACCTGTTCATCTGCTAATATTGTGGCTTTACAGAACGTGATAAACTTGCTGCATGCTTGCCTGCACCAGTCAAGGGTGGCTCTAGGCTGATCCCAAAGATGAAGGGGTCGAAGGAGTAAGTGGAATTCATGATGGTGGGGCGTTCAAAGATCAAAACAAGACGGGGTTCAAGAGGTTGTTCAGCAGGTCACACGAGATATATCCTCTAAATTTAATTAGTTAATGTTGCTAGCACGGATGGACCGACAGGACAGGGCAAGATACATGAGTCTCTTGGTTGGAATGAAAGCAGTATTTTAGGGTGCATTATGGGGGAAACAGAGCAAGACGGTCATCATCATACAGCGCGTTACAGTCATGTGTATGGTAGTATTAAAACATGCAATTCTTTTTGGAACCTTCTTCAGTCGCTCAGTTCCCTTCATCAGTTGCTCAGTTGCCTTTCGCAAGTAACCGCTGCTTGTATATTACATGAAGTGTATGTGTACGCAGGCTTTAACGAGGCCTGCTTGACAAAAAACGAGGGCCCAAGTCAAATACAGTCTAACGCCCCAACTCCGTGAAAAGTTTCATGACTGGTGAGATGATTACTTCTACTCGTAGTCTCTCACAGCCTTCTGACATCGACTTCGCCCCCCCTCAGAGAGCCAGTCTAGTATCTCCTCCTCGTAGGCTCCGGGCTAGGCGATCTGGTCGGGCTCCTGCTTCTCGGCCTCGTCTTCAACCACTTCTTGGTGCTCAACTCCAGCTCCCTCTCCAGCTCCGGGCTGGGATTTTTACGATGAATAAAATTGCAAAACCCGCCCCTCACGCACCCCTCCCCCGAGTTCAACCTGCAGCACGCCTCCCTAAAGTCCGTCACAGGGCTCAGCTCGCAGTAGATGGGGCGGGCGGCGTACCACCGGCTGTTGAGGTCGTCGCAGGCCTTTTGGGCCGAGTCCTCGTACTTGAAGCGGGCGTAGACGTTGCCGATGAGGTGGTCATTATTGTTGTCGCAGACAACGAGCTCCTCGATCTCGCCGTACTTGCACATCTCGCACCAGATGTCCTCGTAGAAGGCGTCGAAGTGGTTCTGGAGCTGGGAGGGGTTCATCCTGTTCTTCGGGTCGAAGGCCGGGTTCTGGTAGAGGTTGGGCATGAGGATTGTCTGCGAGTAGGAGGGCTTGACGTGCTTGCGGGAGCAGCGGTCGCCGTGGCGGCAGGCGCCGATTTTGTAGTAGAAGGAGCAGTTGACTTTGTCTTGTTCGGTGCCGAAGATGGAGGCGAGGAAGTTGGCCATTTTGGCGGGTTGGTTATTTTTCTTGTCGTGATTGTGGTTTTGTAATGGTGGTGAGATCGTTCGAGTGTTTGGTTATAGATTCGCGGGGATGGATGGGCGAGAACCGAATGGGAGGCTGAAAAAGTGTATTGCGATTCGCGACGACACGAAAGTTTGGTGTTTGGCGTTGCAGTCCGGCAGGAAACACAAGGCAGTGGAAAATATCCACTTGTTCAGCCTGGCGCTGCCACATGTGGCGTTAGGTCCCTAATTGGTTTGACTAAGATTCTGGGGGAAACAAGGCTGAAAGTTGTGTGACACGTGTGTGGCTGAAGCTTCTGGAAGCTCTGGCCAAGCTCGGTCAACAGACAGGGTTCCACTCCGATCGATCCCAATCTCCAATCTGGAACTGATTTGGACCCTTGATCCAACCTCTGACAGAGCAATTGTTACAATTCTCTGGCAAGACCATGAGGCATCCGTTCAACCATTTTGTTTGTCTGACGAAAAACCTCAGCTTTTGCGCGACAATTGACTCTCTTTCCGGGCTACACAGGTTGTCCCATGTTCATCGGGCTTGGTCAGTTATGAATTATGGATTCCTCGGCATTCACCACACTCACAGCCACCGAGATCGTGCAGCCATCGTGGGGGGAGCTAGCGGTGGCTAGATATGAAAATTGCCTCGTTTTTAGCCAACCTCCTGTCACCAAACTTCCCCTCAGATGAATCGGCAGCCATGATCAGCAACAGCCAATGATGAGGGCCAATGGCTCCGCAGTCGAGGTAAGACATGCCGCCATCACCGACTATCTTCTGCGAGAGGCAGCACGCACACACAGCACATTCGGCCTATGGCGACCACGAGTTACCCGAATGGCGGTGTCTGAGGGAGCTTCTTGATACACAGCACACAGCACCCCAGACCTTTTTGAACAACTGTATTACCATTGACAACAACAAACCCCTTTTTGGAGTCTCTGTGCTGGCTTCCGAGATGCAGAAAGGGGCTTCGCTTGCGCAGTGTTGGTCCACATGTTTACCACCTGGCACGTGTGTCGGTTGATAAATTGCGATGGGGAGGCAGGGGAGCCGACATTGCGCTGCGACGGTCAAGGAATGACGAGTTATTTCACGGCGCACGAGCCAGCTGGAATCACAAGTGACAGCATCATCGTTGTGGCTGTTCGAGACATTCTCCAACCGCTTCGTCTGCCGACAGGTTCAACGGACTGGGTTCCGGGTATTCGGATCTTGATAGGGAAGAAAAAAAAACATAAAGACGGGAACAGCGGAAGCACGGGCTCGCCGGTGGGATGGCGGCCGGTGTTCTTCCCGCCGGCTCCTGCGTGTGGGTTCGTAGTCGAGAGATTTTCGGCAGGGATCTATACTTTTAGCGCCTACCCGAAGTGACGGGGCGGCCTCAGGGCCAAGGTCGACTTATGATGCAATGTGGTATCAATTATCAAGCTGCAGATTCCAAGAAGACCTGTTGTCGTGCGACACAGCAGCTACGGCGACGTACACTGTAGCAGTCCAGAGCACACCGGAACAAGGCACAAGCAAGAAACATTGCCATGACTGTGCCAAGGTGACGCGATAGCAGCTTCGCACTCTCTAGCGCAAGGGCCGACCGATGAACAAGCCACCTCTGCACCCCTCAGCTGGGCTGGGAATCTGGGAAAACCCTCTCAGTGCAGGATTCGTAATTCGGAATTGCGCCAGCCAATTCGCGCTCTCCAAAGCCCACGATAGCTTGCCTTTTGGGACCAGCCAAGACCCAAATTGCACCACCAATCCTCGCCCGGCGTAAGGTCCCTACTGACGTAGCACCCGATCTGTTGCTGATCTCCCCGTCCCAGCTGGCCCATCCTTGCCAAGGCCCCACGCAGCTTTTGGACAGCTCCTCCACTTCCAGTTTGAGAGACCTCCACGCCAGGTTGTGGCTTCGCTGTGCTGCTGTTGCTCAATTTCATTTTCCCCTTCCTGTTTCCCCCCCCCCTCCTCTCCTTGAGCAACTCTCTAAAGCCTCTTATCCGGTGGTTCGTAGACCCAACTTCTGCGATTCCAGCCACATCTTTTTTCTTTTCTTCGAGTCTTGTTCTTGGATATCCATTACCTTAGTAGCCTTCTTCCACACACTAGCATTTGCGAGCTTCCAGGTCGCTTGTGCCGCAATCCGCCGCCCACTGACGGAGCTCCCCCGGTTCTGTCTCTGGCAGCCAACCCGACAACAGACACTCGGAATATCGGCCTAGGCCAACCGACATTGCCTCTTCCCCGCCATTGAACCAATTGACCAACGCAAGCGTGGCTGCTGAAGCAGCGTGTACACAGAGACGACCATGGCGACTGCGGTTGCTGCCGCGGAGCTTAAGCAGCAGGGAGCTATCGAGGCTGCTCAGGATCCAGACAGCAAGGTCACCGCTGATGACGCCCAACAAAAGATTGTCGAGGAAAGTCGACGAGCTGGCGTGACGGCCTTCACATTCAACCCTGACGCCAGCCCGGAGGAGAAGAAGGCGCAAGCTCAAGCTGTACGTGTTATTCTTGGCAACGAGTGTATCCCCCCAAAGCTAACCACAAAGTTATACAACAGGCTATACCAGAAGGTTTCCACCGAAACCCAGGTGGTGTCGCCATCGCATCGGATCTTGATACTGATAGCAAGTCTGTCATCGACCTTCCCACACCGTCCAAGGCTGGCGCACTCGAGGTGGTCAAGGCCGAAAATGGCAAGGTCATTGTCGGTGGTCATGTTGAGGAGGACGAAGACAACTGGTGGGAGAAGACCGGTTGGGAACCCAGGTTTGGGTGGCCGGCTGAGTCGAGTCTCGAGGGTGAGAGCATGCTCGACCATCAGACATTACTAGAGACTCAGATTCCCGAGAAGTTCTTTGGAGGTATGGAACCCCCTTTACTGCCCTATGCCGGGCCAAATTTGCTGACACTTGTGTGGTATAGACTGGTATCACAACGCCGCTGTCATTGCTTTTGCCTGCTTGTCCTCGTGGCTGGTGGCTGTTCTTGGTGGTGGTCTCGCCTGGGTATTCATCATTGGCGCAGCTTGCTCAACTTATTACCGCACCTCTCTGCGCCGCGTGCGCCGGAATTTCAGGGACGACATCACTCGTGAACTTGCGCTCAAGAAGCTCGAAACCGATAACGAATCTGTCGAATGGATTAACTCTTTCTTGGTCAAGTTCTGGCCCATCTACCAGCCAGTCCTTGCGCAGACCGTTATCAGTTCTGTCGATCAAGTTCTCAGCAATGCGACCCCTGCCTTTTTGGACAGCTTGAAGCTCAAGACTTTTACCTTGGGTTCGAAGCCGCCGAGAATGGAACATGTGAAGACGTACCCCAAGGCCGAGGATGATATTATCATTATGGACTGGATGTTCAGCTTCACCCCCAACGATACCGCCGATATGACTTCCCGCCAGCTCAAGAACAAGGTGAACCCCAAGGTTGTGCTTGAGATCAGAATCGGAAAGGCCATGGTCAGCAAGGGTTTGGATGTTATTGTCGAGGACATGGCTTTCAGCGGTTTGATGCGTCTCAAGATCAAGCTGCAGATCCCTTTTCCCCACGTCGAGAAGATTGAGATGTCTTTCCTGGAGAGGCCGACCATCGATTACGTCTGCAAGCCTCTTGGTGGTGAGACGTTTGGTTTCGACATCAACTTCATTCCCGGTTTGGAGACCTTCATTATGGAGCAGATCCACGGCACTCTCGCCCCGATGATGTATGCGCCCAATGTTTTCCCCATCGAAGTCGCCAAGATGCTCGCCGGTACTCCTGTCGATCAGGCCATCGGTGTTCTCGCTGTTACTCTTCACGGTGCTCAAGGCCTCAAGAACACCGACAAGTTTGCCGGTACCCCTGATCCCTATGTTCAGCTCTCTTTGAACAGGAGACAGGTGCTCGCCCAGACCAAGGTTATCAAGGAGAACGCCAGCCCCCGCTGGAACGAGACTCACTACATCATTATCACTTCTTTTAATGACTCGCTCGATTTTGACATCTTTGATTTCAACGATTTCCGCAAGGACAAGAGGATTGCCCAGGTTTCTTTCCCTCTCGAGAACGTCGAGGAGGTTTGGGAGCACGAGAACGAAAGATTGGAACTCACCAACGATGGCAAGGCAAGAGGGGTTTTGTTTTCCGATATCCGGTTCTTCCCTGTCTTGGAGCCTAAGAAGCTCGAGGACGGTAGCCTGGAGCCGGCTCCCGAGTCTAACCAGGGTATCTTGCGCTTCACGGTTGAGCAGGCCAAGGAACTTGATGGTGGCAAGAGCATGATCGGCCAACTCAACCCCTACGCGACTCTCACATTGAATGGAAAGGCGGTCCACTCTACCAAGAAGCTGAAGCGCACCAACAACCCTGTTTGGGGCGAAAATGGCTCCAAGGAATTCCTCATCACCGACAAAGCGCATGCCAAGCTTGGTGTTGTTATCAAGGATGACCGTGACATTGCCGGAGATCAGACTGTTGGAAACTACCAGATCAAGCTGGAAGACATGCTCGAACTGATGGCAAAGGGACAGGATTGGTACAATCTTGCTGGTACAAAGACTGGCCGTGTCAAGATGCAGGCTCAATGGAGGCCGGTGGCCATCTCGGGTATTGCGACTGGCAGTGGCGGCTACGTAACACCCATTGGTGTTTTGCGCCTTCACTTCAAGCATGCCAGGAACCTTCGTAATGTCGAGGCTCTTGGCAAGTCTGACCCGTACGTGCGCGTCGTCATGTCGGGCATTGAGAAGGCCCGTACTGTCACGTTCAAGAACAACCTCAATCCCGACTTCGACGAGGTTCTCTACATCCCCGTACACTCGGCGAGAGAGCGCCTCCAGCTTGAGGTCATGGACTCTGAGAACGTGGGCAAAGACCGCAGCCTTGGTCTGACGGAGATCTCCTCCGGTGACTACATGGTTCAGGGTGAGCTTGGCGAGTGGCTTGTTCACGACGAGAAGAAGGAGCACGAGGATGGCCTGCGTATCCACAACAAGGGCACACCCAAGGGCACCCTCACTTACACTGTCGCCTTCTATCCTACTCTCAACATTGCCGATCCCGAGGAAGAGGCCGAGAAGGAGAAGAAGAGGCTTGAGGAGGAAAAGGAAGCAGCAGATGAGGAGAAGGAAGAAGGAAAGGAATCCGATGCCTCGTCTGGCTTGGATGTTCCTCGCTCTACCGAGGCCGGCAAGTTCTCGGCTGACCTTAAGGAGCCAGCGACGCCTCTCACGCCCAAGACCCCCGGTACTCCCCTCTCGGCGACATTCTCCTCCCGGAGATCGCATGAGAACAGAGAGCCGCCCAAGGTCTACCTTACACCCCAGGAGCTGCTCAAGAAGGAGTCTGGTCTTATCATATTCAAGCTCATGGAGGCCGATTTGCCCAAGAGTCAGACCCGCATCGAGGTCTTTGTAGACGACATGGCCTTCCCTTCGTATACCTCTTCGGTTGCCAAGAAGTCAAAGACGACTTTTGACGAGATTGGCGACTGCTTCATTCGTGAACTGGAGTTCTCCAAGTTGACCATCAAGGTGTCGGAGAAGACGGACAGCAAGGAGGGCAAAAAGGAACGAGTCCTGGCCCGTCTTACCGGAAATACTCTTGATACGCTCAAGCAATGCTTGGTAAGTGCTTTTGCTACAGTCAGTCGTGATTAGACTTTCAGCTAACAGCCTCAGAACAACCCAACGGTGCTCAAGCTGAAGGATGATGATGGAAACGTGTATTCCATCCAGGTCAGCCTCAAGTATGTGCCAGTGCAGATGACACTCGACCCCAGCGAGAGCATCAATAACATGGGTAATCTCCGGGTCGATGTGTTGGACGCCCAGAACCTGCCATCTGCCGACTCGAACGGCAAGAGCGACCCTTATTGCAAGTTTGAGCTCAACGGCGTGGAAGTGTTCAAGACCAAGACGGTCAAGAAGACGCTCAATCCCGAGTGGAAGGAGTTCTTCACGATTCCAATCCCCTCGAGAACGGCGGCCAAGTTCAAGGCGACTGTTTGGGATTGGGATTTCGCTGACAAGCCTGACTTCCTCGGCGCTGCTGACATTAACCTTGAGCAGCTCGAGCCATTCAGGGGCCAGCAGTTCACTTACACTCTGGACGGAAAGTCGGGCACCCTGCGGCTCCGTCTGCTCTTCACGCCAGACTACGTCACCAGGACAAGACAGGGCACTTCCACCCTCACTGGTACCTTCTCGGTGCCAGGCAGAATCGTTACTGGTGTGGCTGGCGTGCCTCTCAAGGGTGGTGCCGCTGTGGGCCATGGTGTTGCCAAGGGTGCCTCTTTCTTGAAGCGCGGGTTCCGCAGTGCTACGGGCAGAAGGGATGATGATGATGAAGAGTCTGTCAGCTCGGCCGACATTCCCATCATCACTACCAATGGCCCCGACTCAGGGCCCGGCGGCGGACTGAAGAGATCAGGCGGTCTTTCATTCCCCGAGGCTATCCCAGAGGCACCACCAAGCCCTCCTGGTGACAAGACTGCCGGGCTTGCCAACGGCGCGGGCGGTCTCACCCTTCATCACACAAGAACCAGGAGTGTGGGTGCCTCTTCGGTGCACAGTGCCATTTACCCTGGAGCGTCTTCTGGCACTGCCACCTTCAATGTCGTTTCCGCCACCGGCTTCCCTCCGTCGGCAGATGTATACGTCATCATCACGCAGACCAAGGACGGCAAGACCAAGCAGGTCGGCAAAACCAAGCATCGCAAGTCGTCTAGTGGCACGATCAAGTTCGATGAGACGTTCAAGATCCAGTGCACTCCAGACGCTCAGTTCAAGGTAGAGGCCAAGGAGCACCACACCTTCGGTAGCGACGACCCGCTTGGCGAGACTCTCTACTTTGTGGATGAGACCAACTCTGGTCAGGAGAAGCAGCTGTCGATTGGTTCTGGGTCTGTCTGGATCAGGAGCTCATTCGTTCCGACTGAGGAGAAGGGTCTGCCAGACAGCCCCAAGTCTACGTCGGGGATCAGGAGGAGTTTTCTGAGCAAAAAGGACCTGAAGGTGCCGGGCTCTTCGGGGTCATGACTAGATGGCAGTCGCAGTGTTCGTCGCAAGTTTTCATGGGGAAGGAGTAAGAAGGACAAGGGCAAGGGCAAAGGGTAATTGATTAGGTTTTTTTTTTGGGGGATGGAAATGGCATTCACATGGAGTCTGAGGCGAGAAGGGAGGAGGGTTGGGGTTAATAACTGGTAGTCCTGGATTGAGGGTTTATTTTTGTTTCTACTGTTTATTGTTTGTGTCATGGTCGTGGCAATGTTGCTATTAATTGCGTGATTGATGGTGGTAGTGGTGGTTTTTATGATACCTGTTTTTGCTACTGGTAGTTTTATCGGTGCTGTTGAAATGAAAAGTACTTTTATGAATATTGGAGGATATGTGATATTAAATAGATGGAGACCTGCCCCCTTTTTCTTTTGTGATGTTCTGGAAGAATGTCTTGGCAGGGGTAGTTCTTTTTTTGCGCTGCCGGCCGGGGAATTAATGGGGTGAACCCGACTAAGATTTGACAGGTGTTGAATTGGCCAATTCCGTTTCTTGGAGTGGGTGGGGTCTGTGCGTCAGTGGTTCAGGCAGGTCACGGAAGCTGGGGTGCGCGCGCCAGACATTCGTGGGGAACAATACAACTCGACAATTTGCTCTTGTTCACTCTTTTTTGTTTTTTCCTTTCGTCAATTTAGCGAACGACAAACTGTTCAGATTGAAGTGACGAGTAGAACAAACAAACAAACAAACCAGCGATGTCTTGACACGACGACGAGGAACAAGATACCACTACGTACAAACTGTCCGCAGGCAGTAACGAAAGCAACGACCTGATCAAGAGCGAGCGAGACGAAGTCGGTATTAGTCGACACTACAACCACCACCGCGACGACGACGACCACGACAACGACGACAATTCTGGTTTTTCTTTTTTTTTTTTTTAAAAAAAAAAAAAAAAAAAAAACCTCCGAGCCCCATAAATTACATCCATCACGATACTAAAGAAGAAGGGGAATCCACCGCCCATCATGGACCAAGCCGACATCCCCGCGCTCCTCTCCCGCCTCGCCTCGGACGAGGACGCCGCCCGCAAAATGGCCGTCTTCAAGCTCCAATCCAGCATCAACGACCCGGCCTTTGCCGACGTGTTTATATCCTCTGGTGGTCTGGTCATCCTCCGCCGACTGATCATGACAACGGGGGGCAACACCCTCGCTTACTCCCTCCAGTCTCTCTCCCGCCTGTTGGAGGTAGACATGGGCTGGGATATATTCGAGGGTGCCGGGGCGGGGGAGCTGGTGGAGAGGGTTGTGGAATTGGTGGTGACGAACCCGTTGGTGAATATCCTGCGAGGGGCGATGAGTATACTGGTAGGAGTGGTGGGGCATCAACCTGGACAGGGGCAAAAAGGGGGGGTTGTGCCGGGGACGTTTGGGTTCCGGGCGTTGAAGCCGGCCGTGGCGGTTTATCCACAGTTTTTCGAGCTGGTGATTCAGCAGTTGCACAGTGCGGATCACGCGCTTTGTGCGAATGCTTTGGGGTTGATTAATGCGCTTGTTAGGGATGCGGTGGTTAATGATGTTGCTAGTGGGACGGTGGCTACCGGGGGGGCAAAAGGGGGAACGGCGGCGGGAGGAGGGGGAGGGGGGGAGGATTGGAGTAAATTTATCAAGAGGTTGCAGGATTTGGGGTTGATCAAGGCGGTGTATAATTTGTTGCAGAGCTCGAGTTTGCAAGATTTGGCGCACCCGCTGTTGGAGTTTCAGGGGCTGACAAAGGTTTTGCTGAGGAAGTGGAGGGAGGTGAGGGTTGATCTTGAGAGGCCGGAGCACAGGCGGGCGTTGAAGGGGTTGCATTTGGCGAGTGCGCCGGATCGGAGGCATGTTAATGGGGTTGCGGGGGGTGTGGTGGTGCCGATTCCGCCGCAGCAGGAGGAGGGGACGGCGACTACCACTACCACTACGAGAAAGACGAGCAGGAAGCATAACCCGGAGAAGTGGAGGAGGTTGGGGTTTGAGACGGAGAGCCCGGCGGCCGAGTTCGAGACGGCGGGGTTTTTGGGCATGATGGATCTGACGGATTATGTGAGGAAGAACGAGGATGGGTTTCAAAAGTTGTTGCTGGAGCAGTCGACGCACCCGCTGAATGAACGGTGTCCGGTTGCGAGGGCGAGTTTGGCCGTGACGATGATCTTGTATGATCACTTTGAGGTGGACAAGTCTGACTTGGAGGATATCAGGGGTTATCTGGCTCTGAATGATGGGAAGAACAACGACAGGCTGTTCAAGCCGCTGCTGCTTCAGTGGTCGAGGCTTCACACAGCGGGGCTGCATGCTTTCTTTCGTATGTGGAAGGCTACGGGGGCGCAGAGGGAGGACTTTGACAAGGTGGCCGAGCTAGTGAGGATTCTCATTGAGCAAGTTGTTGGCCAGGCTAGCAGAACCAAGGACGTGCTGGAGGTGGAGGATGAATTGCAAGAGTACGATGCTGGTCGGTTGAGGGAGTTGCAGATGGAGCTGTTGGAGCTATCGTTTGAAGACACAATGGGGCACGCATCTCTTCCAGGTCCGCGAGGAGCTCAAACACGAGGCGCTGTCGTTTGTCAAGGAGCAGCGTATCCGGTGTCTGCTGCAGGGCTCGTGGTTTACCAAGCCCATGTCCCGCAACAACAACGCCCACTCGAGAGAAAACAGCTACCAGAAGAGAAGGCTTTATCAACCCTGGCGGTATGCCAAGCTCTCTCACAACCGGCGCTACCTTCACTATGCCGACTTTCCTGAGCGTCTTGCATACGATCCTGGCCTCGAGGCTCTGACGGAAAAGATTGATCTGAGCACCATCAGCTCTGTCGTGTCGAATGTTTCCGCTCCGAACGAAACAGAGCCGGTGGCAGATCCTGATGCTGCAGATAGCCCGGCTGCCAACTCGACTGCCTCCCGTCATGGCGCGCAAGTCCACAAACCCACGACCAAGATTACGATTTACAGCTTCGTGGAGGACATACCCGGCGGCAGCAAGCCAGAGAGCGTCGCGGGGAACAGCACAAGCGCCGTCGCCGCCACCTCGAACGGGGAACCAAAAGAGCAGCCGATCCTGACGCTGTTCCCGCTGAACCACAGTTTGGCGTCGGAGTGGCTGGACGGGTTGCTCATGTTGTTGAATCAGACGCCGATCACGGCCGAGACGAACAAGCTGGTGACGTTGGTGAGCGAGTACGGGTTGAAGATTAGGCTGTTGAATGTGAGGTTGGAGCAGATGTATGCCGGGCCGGTTCCTGGGGCGGGGGTGGTGCCTAGTCGGGAGGGGTTGGATGAGGATTATTTTTATGAGATTTGAGTCTTGGGATTGATTGTGGGGAGGGAGGGAGGTGGTTTGTTGTGTTTTCGTTGGTTTTATATACCCCGGGTTTGTAACAATAACCCCTTTTGTTCTAGTTTTCTAGTTTTTGTTTGATGCTGGGGGGGAGGGGTGGGTATATCGTTTGGTGTGAGATGGTGTATTTGTTTGTCGTAGAGGTGTCATAGCAGGAGGTCTTTGAATCAATGTTTATGTTGTTTGGTGAGGCTTTGTGTGAAGTTTGGCCATGCTGTGTGATGGGTCTGAAAGGTGCCTCTTGTAAAAAAGTGAGTCAAATTCTGTCATGACACCACACTATTCCAAGTATATATCTAGTATTTTTTTTCTTCCCAGGCGACCTGCAACATTGGTCCTCTCATACACTATTCTTCTTCTCCAAGTGTCAAAGTTGTCGGCCTCTAGAAATCAGATCTGACACTTGAATATATATGCTATCTTTCACAAGACAACCGCGTTTTCTGAAAGGTTACATCTACACCCTTCTATGGACTGCTTTTGATCAATCCGGACTAACACCGTTGCGTTTCATGGTTCCAAAACATACTCACGCCATCCCTCTCTCCTTACCAGCAGGCTTGGTGATTGCTGGATTCATTTCTTCCAAGTGTAGCACCCCGGGCTCAACAAAAACACACCAGATTACCACCTAGACCTACCCGGAGCGTATGATTTACCAAGGAGGACACAATCGGGGACCTGGAGAAACTGGGGGGGTTATGGGCGAGACATATGGTGATGTTGTTGTTGAGGAGTTCTGGTCAGAGGATTTCACTGGGGCTGTTGAGGACACGCGATGTTAAATTAACGAGAGACGAGCAGCTCACTCATGAAGGAACTACCACAGTTACCAGTAGTAGGTAGGCGTTACTTCAGTCAGGGCAAGATTGCTGATCCTCACCGTGGCGATGTGGGGTTTTCTCCCAACGGGCAGAGATTTCGACTTTGAAACATGTGAGAATTTTGAACTGCTCTTTGGAGGCGGCCCTGGAGGTCCTACGTAAGTGACGCCACTGGGTAGGCTTCAGCCCAAACGCTTTAGGACCTTCTCACCAGGATCGCGTATGAGAAGTCACCGCTCTACCGCCGTGGCTTTTGAGAGCAAAGGTCGATTCTAATAGGACGCTGAAGATGTCCGCTCCTGTCTGTCGTTAACTTGGTAGTTCCTTGCCATTATCTCGTGCCGAATGCTTGTAAGAATCACAGCCCAAAAATTTCAGCTGTTGCGTTTATACAAAATCTCACTTGCTCGGTCTGTAACCCGCAAACCTGACCTTCCCCTTATCCTTCGATAGCCAACCAGACAGACCGGTACAACCGTGCCACGGCAGTAGTCTTCCGAGGCCAAAACCCAGAGTACCTTTACACCTACTCACGAGGCTAATCGCAGACATCCACGGCACGCTGCCCAGGCAGGCAGAAGACTCGCAGGCTGGTGACAACGAGGTACTGGTCATGGTGAGAACGTGGATCTTGTGACGAAAGCACCCGGGGCGCGACGTATCATGCTCTCGATTTCTTGATATCGGTTCTCCAGATTGATGGAGGATGGAAGCAATGCAGCCGGGGCTATGTGATAAATCATGAGAACAGTTACGCAAATCTAGATTAGCAAGAAACAGTCAAGTCGTGCTCTGCTGTGAATAGGTAGGTGTTGGCCTTTATTGGGTCTACTACTCCTAGCTCTTTTGGTGTAAGCTCATGCTCGCGTGTATGTCTTTCTTCCAATCTTTTCCGATGTACTCATTGACTCAGTCAGCGCCCAGCCTGAAAGAGTTCTCCTACCCAGTCCCGTGGCAGCAAGATGGTGGCCGGTGCCATGATCGTACAGTCAACCAACGTTAAAACACCCGATTCCCAGCATTATACAAACCCACCACCCTCCGCCATCATGATCACTCCCACCCCCAAACTTTATAAACGACCCCCAACACCTCCTCCGCCCAAGTCATAGGAAAATCATGCCCCCCTTTCACCACCTCCCAAACCACATTCCCCCCTTCCAACAACGGCTTCAAATCCTCCTCATACTCCCCCGGATTGACCAACTCGTCCTCCTCCCCCAGTATGATCGCCGTCGTCTTCCCATCATCCCCCCCCCTCAAAGCACAACTCTTAAAAGCCCACTCCTGCCCCCATCAGCCAGCCAATCCTTAAAC